GACATCCAGGTAGTGCAATCTAACAACGGAACCAAGTATGTCAACCAAGATATGGAAAATTTTTGTAAAGATAATTCCGTAAGGCATCAAACCTCGTGCGTTGGAACACCCCAACAAAACGGATTAGTAGAAAGAAGAAATCGACAACTTCTAGAGATTGTTCAAGCATCCTTGTTTGACATGAATGTCCCACGTCAATACTGGGTGAGGCTGTTCGGTCCGCAGCTTACCTCATGAACAGAACTCCATCTCGAGTCATCGAATTTAAGACTCAAATCCAAAAGCTTCAAGAACTTGTGAAAATCTCAGCAAGCATCAATCTGGAACCAAGGGTTTTTTGGTGCACATCTTATGTGCATCAAAACCTAGGTAAACTAGAACCTTGAGTTGTTCGTTGTATCTTCCTAGGGTACGCAGATTTCAAAAAGGGTTACTGTTGTTATGACCCTACGGAGAAGAAAATGCACATCACCAGAGACGTATTTCATGAAAATATTCAATTTTCCAGAGGTGAGTGTTCTCTTCAGGGGGATAAAGCATCTAATATGAAGGAAGATAACATATTTGAAGGCAATGAAGAAAGGGATCTGCAGGGTGAAACACTCAATATTCCAAACAACGAAAATGAAGAAGAAGATTATAATGGAACACATATGGAGGAAACTATTGAAGATCAAGATGATACAACTTCCCCACCGGTCACCGCTACCGAAAGTCCACATGAATTGCCGTTAGTAACCACTAACCCTAATGATTCAGTTTTGCAGGATACCCTGAACAATGACATCCCTTCCGAACCTGAACCAAGGTATCCTGTAAGGCATAACCGAGGAGTCCCCGTAAAGCGATATCAACCCGATCTCAAGGCGAAGGAGAAATGCCCCATCAACAATTATGTATCCTCGCATCGGCTAGCCAAATCTCAAGCACTTCTGGTAGACCAGTTGTCATTTCTGTCTATTCTGAAAATGTTCAAGAAGCACTGAAAGACCACAAGTGGAAGAAAGCAATGAACGATGAAATGGAAGCCCATCAAAAGAATCGTACTTGGGAGTTGGTGAATCTCCCTCCAAGAAAGAAACCCGTAGGATGCAGATGTATATTCACTGTCAAACTCAACTCAGAAGGGAATATTGACAGGTACAAAGCAAGACTTGTAGCTAAAGGGTACACTCAAAAATATGGGATCGATTATGGAGACACGTTTGCTCCTATAGCAAAAATAAATACCATTCGTATCCTTTTGTCTATAGCAGCGAACCAAGATTAGCCTCTACGATAAATTTGATGTGAAAAATGTGTTCCTGAACGGCACCTCGAAGAAGAAGTTTATATGGAATCCCCTCCTGGGTTACACTACAAACACAAAGTATGTAAACTAAGGATAGCGTTGTATGGGTTGAAACAATCCCCTCGTGCGTGGTTTGGGAAATTTTCTAGCTTCATGAAGAAAATTGGCTATAAGCAGAGTGATGTGGATCACACTCTCTTCGTGAAGGGACAAAAGAAGAACGTAACGTTATTGATTGTGTACGTAGATGATATGGTCGTCACCGGAAATCATTAAGAGGAGATAACAAATCTTCAAAAAATTCTGGTGACTGAGTTCGAACTCAAAGTTCTTGGAAACTTGAAATATTTTTTGGGTATAGAAGTAGCATGATCAATGCAAGGCATATCCATGTGTCAATGAAAGTATGTGCTGGATCTTCTAGCTAAAACCGGTATGCTTGACTGTCAACCAGCTGATACTCCTATAGAAGTAAACCACGGGTTGATGATTCGTGCGGATCAAGTCCCAACAAATAAAGAAAGGTACCAACGGCTAGCCGGGAAGTTAATTTACATGTCTCATACTCGTCCAGACATAGCATACGCTGTCAGTGTGGTAAGTCGATTTATGCATGCTCCAAGTGAAGATCACATGGAAGCCGTATACAGAATCCTCAGATACTTGAAGGCATCTCCTGGAAAAGGGTTGTTTTTCGCAAAGAATCAAAGTATATGGGTAAGTGGATTCACGGATGCAGATTGGCAGGAGACGGAACTGATGGAAAGTCAACATCGGGACACTTTGTATTTGTTGGGGGAAATCTTGTCACTTGGAGAAGCAAGAAACAGAAGGTTGTTGCTAGGTCAAGTGCAGAGTTTGAACTACGAGGAATGGTTCATGGTGTATGTGAACTTTTGAGGATATTGCGAGACCTCGGTATCGGTCTTACAAATCCGATGAGGTTAAGTTGTGACAATCAAGTGGCAGTCAAGATAGCAAATAACCCAGTCCATCATGATAGGATAAAACATGTGGAGGTTGATCATCATTTCATTAAGGACCATTTAGAAAAAGGTACAATCGAACTCCCGTTGGTTCCCTCAAAAGATCAACTAGCAGACATCTTGGCGAAAGCTGTGTGTGGAAGGATCTTTCATAGCTCTCTTGACAAACTGGGAATGATAGACATCCATTCTCCACCTTGAGGGGGAGTGTTGACGAGAGCAAATTACGGGATTGATTTATTCAATCTTCTCTCTCTAGTTTGTTGTACATTCTGTAGAGAGAGGCTAGCCAATTAAGATAATTTAGAATTTCCATATATTTTAAGCATTGTACTCTTGTATATATTTTTGTAATCAGCTCATGGAATAATATAGAAGAAAATTCATGCATCTCAAAACCCTAGTTGATAGTTTGAAATCGTAAATATAGATATAAGTTGGATCGTCCCATATTGTTGATAACTCTTTTCAAAAGGTTATAGTTTTCTTATTTAATAACAAGAAATCTACTATATTGTAATGTAAAATAATATTCATGTGTATGGAATAATCAAAAGCCACTGAGATGAATGATGGATGATACATCAATGTTTTCTAAACAAAGTAGTTTTAGATTTTAGTAGTAGATAAAAAACTTAGAGAAACAATAAACAATATTGTAAAGTGAACATCCAATTAAATTTTTTTTACATAGTTTCTTCTCCAATGTAATTAAATTAATACATGTTTGGGCATTTATTATAATGGAAAATTCGTTTTGGATCATATTAGATATTATAAAAATTGTATCTCTTTTATTTATTAATTTTTTTGAACTACTATTACATACTATATAGTATATACGAAAAAAATATGGGCTCCTATTTCTTGTGGGCCCTTGGCGTACGTCCAGTCTGTCCTCCACCAAGAACGGCCTTGCTATCCATTGGGTATTATATTTTGTCATCTGATTCAACTCAATTAACATTTGATAACTGATAGTTTCATCTAGTGGATATTACTATTGGCTATCTATTGGATTGGATTGGATTGGATTGGATTGGATCCATCCAACATTTTTTATTTAATTTTCAACCAATTAATCCATCATTTTAATAAATTATTTGCATATTTTCCAAATTTCTTAAAAAGCACTACACACAAATATCAACTAAAAATAAATTCGTAAAATATAATGAATTTTATACTTTTTTATTAGTTGGATGGTGGTTAAATGAGTAACTGGATTGATCAGTTTGGTTCTTATTGGATTTTAAATTACAATTTGAAAATTGACCGCTCCAATTTAGATGTTGAAATTCTGGACCCGATCTAAACCAATTATAATTGAATCGATCACTTCTAATTGAATTGAATGACTTACTTAATATCCCAATTAATTTATTTTTTTGTTCTTTTCTGTTAAATCAATCATAGGCTATAACTGAGTTTTGGTTAATTTTAACTGATTTTAGAGTTTGTTTGTTATGACATCTCCAATGTATTTCTTTATTTTACTCTTTGTTATAGAGTAAAAAATAATGTATGTCTTGTGTCTTCTCCAATGTATTACTCTATTTTCTACTCTAAACGAGAATATTTCAAGTATAATCTTTTCTCTTTTAATTACATATATTTCTAATAAAACCCTTATATTTATTAACTTTATAAATTATATCCTTATATTTTTTTTTCCACAATAACTTTATATTTATTAACTTTATCATGTTATTTTAACGACGTGTATTTATTAGTTGGATAAATTTAAATTAAATTTAAACCTTAAAGATAAATATAATTCTAGTTTATTAAAATTGGTATTAGAGGGTTAATTGGAGATGGTCTTAGTAGCTCAATTAGCTTAATGAGACTCACAACTTATTCGATTAGTTTTGCATGACTGATTAATAGCGGCTTAATAATATAGGAATTGTTTTTTCAGTAAACTCATAAGGAAAACTTTATACAGAAAGTCAAGAAAAAAATTCCAAACATGTCCTTTTCAATTAGAAAACGTGTCTTTTCCATCAATTAAGAAACTATCACAAACAAAAACTTTCTCAACCCATACAGACATTAATTCACGCGGATATTTATATGTTCATGGATTAATGAAAAACCAACCAAACAACCTCTTAGTCTTAACCATTTCTTCCAATGGGTCTAGCTACATTTAGTTGTTTGTGAGTTTTTAAACCTTTTATGTAGAGTGGCACAAGTGTCAAGTTAAGCTGGATTTAATAGTGTTTGGTTAAACTCAACTCAAACTCTATTTGGTAACTTAACTAGTTGTCTCAATGTAGCAAGAAGAATTTAGGCTTGATTCATGAGGTCGAAAATGTAAACTGCTCAAATAACTTGATAAAAATTCTATTGAAGGATATTATATTTGACCATATCTTGTCCACTCCTGTTACCAAACTATTAGGGATTCTTGTTGTAGTTGCCAAGCTATTAGGGATTCTTGTTATAGTTTCCTTATTTTTCTCTTTCAATTTGGTATATGTATCTTGATAGCCTTTGAAGGAAAATAATAATCGATACCAATTTCTTTATGGGATCACAGTGGATACCTTTCATATAATCAAAACCCTAAAACCGCCGCCTGATCATGGTTGACGGTGAATAAAACACACGCAAAAACGAGGGCAAGTTTATAGACCCAAACTCACCGCTCTATATACACACTTCCGATTATCCTAAACAAATGCAGAGACTGCAATTACAATGATTGGGCACAAGAGATGGCGAATATCTTGTTTGCCAAAATTGGCTTCATCGATGGGTCGATAAAGAAGCCAGAGAAGACTCCATCCACTTATATGGCCTGGATGCGTTGCGATGCAATGATAAAAGGCTGGCTCACTACGTTGATGGAGAAGGAAATACGTAGCAGTGTTAAGTACGCTAACAGTGTTGCGGAAATTTGGGATGACCTGAAGGAGAGGTTTGGCAAGGAAAGTGCACCGAGAGGTTATGAGTTGAAACACTCGCTCACGGTGACTCGACAAGACGGGACTTCCGTCCCAGCCTACTATACTAATTTATGTGGCCTATGGGACGAAATACAATCGGTTTCACCGATTCCTCGTTGCACGTGTGAGGGATGTACGTGTGGGCTTGGGAAGAAACTTGTTGAACTCAAAGAAAAGGAAAGAACATACGAATTTTTTATGGGTCTTAACATTGAATTTTCGGTGATTCGGACTCAGATTTTGGCAATGAAACAAATAACAAGCTTAGGGACGGCTTATCATTTAGTTGCTGAAGATGAGCAACAGAGGGTTGTTTCCTTTGCTAAGAAAATGACTCAAGAAGCATTTGTTTTTCAAGCCTTTGTTCCAGCAAAACACGAAGGACAACAGTAGAAAAAAAAGGGGCAGAAGGTAGACAAAAGCACCTTCTATAATAAAGTTGAGCATTGTAATTTTCGTGGAAGAGACGGGCACAACCGACAAGGATGCTTCAAATGAATTGAGTACCCTGAATGGTGGCCTGGAAAAGCAAAAAAGGGAGATGACAAAGCCTAAAGCTGCACTTGTTGAAACTGGTTCGAGTCCTATCCCAAGAATAACAGAAGAGCAATATAAGATGTTTGTTAAACACTTTAGTGGTGACGATGATACCGCTGGCCCAGAAACGAAGCCGAGGGCAAACATGGCAGGTAGTTTTGAATTAGATTGTGATTGGGTTGTTGACTCGGGGGGCAACTGAACACATTACTTATCAAAATAATTTGCTTAAAAAATATAACAACAGATGCCCACGAGACACCCATCACAATTCCTAATGGGGATGCCATTCCTGTAAAAGGGAAAGGTGAACTTCTTTTAAAGGGAGCAACCATGTTAAAGGGAGTATTGTTTACACCTAATCTCAAATGCAACATTTTGTCCGTTCGTCGGTTAACAAGAGATCTACATTGTGCTGTTACGTTTTTTCCTGATTTCTTTGTCATGCAGGGCTTGGGGTCGAGGAGTTTGATTGGAGCGGATAGGTGCAATGGAGGTTTATATCGATTGGGGGGAATAAAGGGAGAAAGAAAGGCGATGATGGTTATTGTTGATACATGGCATAAAAGACTCGGTCATGCTTCCAATGTCAAACTTTCTCGGGTTAATTCTCTTACAAGTATTTATTTTGATTCAGAAAACAAAACTTGTGATTCTTGTATGAAGGCAAAATTTGCTAGACTACCTTTTTCAGTCAGTTCAATAAAATCTAAAGAATGTTTCGATTTAGTGCATTGTGATATATGGGGTGCGTATAGAGTACCTTCCTTATCAAGGGCAACTTACTTTTTAACTATTATCGATGACCATAGTAGAGTGGTTTGGATTTACTTGATCAAGCACAAACATGAATCAAGCATTTGTTTAATCGATTTTTACAACTTGATCAAAACTCAATTTGGAAAATCCATTAAAGCAATAAGATGTGATAATGGAGGTAAATTTACCTCAAATTACATGCATGATTTCTACACGAAACAAGGGATTCTTTTAGAACATGTCCTCACACCCTACAACAAAATGGGGTGGTCGAACGAAAACATCGACATCTTCTTGAAATTTCCCGGGCCTTAAGGTTTGAAGCAAGTTTACCTATCAGATTTTGGGGTGAATGTATTTTGACAACAGCCTATATCATAAATATGTTGCCATCCGAAGTTTTAGACAACAAAACACCCTTTGAAATTCTTTTTAAAAGGATTCCTAACTATGAGCACATGAAAGTTTTGGGGTGTTTAGTCTACTACAGAAACACGAACACGAAAGGTGACAAGTTTGAACCAAGAGGTAAAACGGGCGTCTTTATGGGTTATCCTTGTGAGACTAAGGGTTACAAAATTTGCGATACTGAACAAAGAAAAATGATTGTGTCAATGGACGTAAAATTTGTGGAAGAAGTGTTTCCCTTTTCTGATATTGAATCAAAAGGAGAAAGCAAGGAGGATGTTTTTTTTAGAATATATATGAAGCTGAAATAAACCAAAGGAATCAAGCGACAGGGGGAGTAATTGATGAAACTAATCAAGCTTCACCAATTGAAAGAGACAATGAGGTGGGTTCTATTGAAGGTTATGAACAAAGTTCTCCACAGAAACTTGATCACAATGAAGGAGGTATTGGTATGCATGAAACAACTTCTAATATGCATGACACCATACAGAGTGAAGTTGGCGTTGAACAAGTCGATGAAGTTGAAAATATTACGAAACGAAGGACCAAGTCTCAACCGAAGCGTCTAGATGACTATCTTGTAAAACTTCCCCCCTCGGTAGACAACTCACAGCCTCCCGTCAATCAGGCGTCCTCCATGCTACATCCCCTTGCTCACTACATCTCTTATGATAAGTTTTTTGAATCTCATAAAGCTTTTTTAGCGGCCATCAACTCCCACGATGAGCCAAAGAATTTCTATCAGGCATCACAGGATCATAATTGAACGAAAGCTATGAAAAGGGAAATTCACGCTCTTGAACAAAATAAAACTTGGATTCTTCAAAAGTTTCCACCTGGGAAGAAATCCATAGAGTCCAAGTGGGTTTACAAAGTGAAATACAAACCAAGTGGAGAAGTCGAACGGTACAAGGCAAGGCTCGTTGCAAAAGGTTTTACTCAAATGGAGGGTGTGGATTACCATGAGACGTTTACCCCGCTTGCGAAATTGGTGACTGTAAGAACACTACTTGCCTTAGCCATCAAACGAGATTGGATTGTTCATCAACTCGACGTCAACAATGTGTTCTTGCATGGTGATCTAGAAGAAGAAGTGTACATGAAAATTCCTCAAAGCTTCTCCACCAAGGAAGAAATGAGAGTGTACAGATTAAAGAAGTCAATATATGGTATGAAACAAGCGTCTCGCAACTGGTATCACAAGTTTACTACTGCACTTACTCGACTTGGATACCATCAGTGCAAAGCAGATCATTCTTTATTCATATATAAGGTGGATGATGTGTATGTTGCGGTGCTAATATATGTAGACGATGTCATAATCATTGGCAACAACATGGATAAATACAGCACATGAAAGCTCAATTGGATGAGATGTTTAGCATTAATAACCTTGGGAGCTTGAAATATTTTCTGGGAATCGAGTGGCTCGCACATCAAGAGGCTTGGTTCTTATTCAAAGGAAGTATACCTCAAACATTCTTGAATATAGTGGTCTTCAGGGCTATCGACCGAGTTCATTTCCCGTGGAACAAAATCTAAAGCTTGATAAAGGAGATGGGGAAGAGAAGGTTGATGCTAATCAATATATAAGACTTGTGGGAAGACTTCTTTACTTGCAAGCCACGAGATTGGACATAGCCTATTCGGTAAATGTTTTAAGTCAATTTGTGGCTGATCCAAGACAAAACCATATGGATGCGGTTACTAGGGTGCTTCGCTACCTTAAAACCATACCTGGGCAAGGTATTCTATTACCAAAGAATGGAGGTACCAATCTAGTTACATATTGCGACTCAGATTGGCTTAGGTGTCCTTACACTCAACGTTCAAAAACTGGCTACTTACTTCTTTTCGGTGGAGCCCCAATCTCTTGGAAGTCCAAGAAACAATCGGCGGTCTCCCGATCTTCAGCTAAAGCAGAATACCGTGCCATAGCGACAACGGTAAGTGAAGTTTTATGGGTTCGATGGTTACTTTGTGAGCTGGAAGCACCCCCTATTGGACCAACGCCTCTCTTTTGTGACAACCAAGCGGCTCGACACATCGCCAACAATCCGGTTTTCCATGAAAGGACCAAGCACGTTGAAATGGATTGTTATTTTGTTCATGAGCAGATGGAATCGAAAGAAATTGAGCCTTTATATGTTGACACCAAACTACAAATCGATGACCTGTTCACGAAGCCCTTAGGTGCTCAACAGCTTCAGTCACTTCTTGGCAAGTTGGGTATTGTCAATCTACATACTCCAACTTGAGGGGGAGTATTGGAGGATATTATATTTGACCATATCTAGTCCACTCCTGTTGCCAAACTATTAGGGATTCTTGTTATTGTTTTCTTATTTCTCTTTCAATTTGATATATGTATCTTGATAGCTTTTAAAGGAAAATAATAATCGATACCAATTTCTTTAAATTCGAGTTGTGCTTGTATAAAATTCAAATTGGACTAGCTATATGTTTTGAGCTTGAACTCAAACCTGATAAAAGTCGACTTTTGTGTATGTCATGTTTCCAAAATATACGGTTTTCTTGGCGAGTTGCATCAAAATATCCGTTTTTTTTATTAAAAAATGTACTTCAAAAGCTTAAGTTTGGTCCAGAGGATAAGATATCTCAAATAAGAAAGTTTAGTTAAAAAAAATTCAAAAAGATCTTTCGTTTATAAGTTATATAATAGGTTCTCTTTTAGTTTATAAAGTTATAATATATAAGCTTAATTGCTTTATATTAGGTTGGACTTGGTACGATACCAGGCTTGTTTTCTTAATATCATGTACCAATTAATTATAATCAGTATGTAAAATCATATATTGTATACCAACTAATTGTACTTGATACTAACTTTTTTTTCCAGGTTGGTACATGTTGGTATTGGTTTTGTACTAATTTCAAGTCAAATATATGAAAACTTGTCATTTTGAGCAAATTTTATGTGACAATTTAGGCTTTCAACTAACACTTGTGATCTTTAAGTGTTCTTTATTACAATGGCTAAAACTTACAAAGATTCAATATTGGGCAAATTGCATGAAAAAAGTAACGTAATTTAACTTGATTCCTATTTTAGGTAACATACTTTCAAAACTTCCATTTTGGTACCTAAGATGTAAAGTTTTAAACATTTAAGTACCCGGGTAACCACTTGAAGACTAAAATTAGATTAAAAAAATACTAATTTTATATTTTAAAAAATCCACGTCACTGACCACGTCAGCAAATAATACCGAGTTGGATACCACATCACTCGCAACATCAGCATGATAATCGATTAATACTTCAACCAGTTACCCGGGTATTTAATTGCTTAAAACTTTACATCTTAGGTACCAAAATGAAAGTTTTGAAAGTACGTTACCGAAAATATGAATCAAGTTAAAGTACGTTATTTTTTCATGCAATTTCCCTTCAATATTCAAATAAAGTAGTTAAAGTTACAATATTTAAATTTAATTCATAAAAAGTACAAAAACTAATAAATAATTGAATAAGTCGGTAACATAATATTACCAAGGTATTCAACTTTCAATACCGTACATCAACAAAATTTACATACTTAATACTGCACTGTCAATAAACCGTAACTGATATTAATTTAATTAATAAATTTAATATACATATTGATTGATTTGATCACCGTTCTATTTTACATATAGCACAATTCTTAAATTACATTATATGTC